TGAAGGCCAGAGCCACGATTCAAGATCTGTTCTGTCTATTAATGGTTTTATACTCGAGACAGTGCTTATATGCCAACCTCGATTTCTATCCATATGCACTTAACTGTGGTGGTCTCCAAAAGCCCCATTTCGTTCTCTGTTCGAAAACTTACATCCTGTAACCTTGTCTGCACGGCCACCTCGTCTGTCTGGAGTATTCTGTTGCCTTCGCGTCTTCTGGACATTGAATTACTGTCGCCGATGCTCGATTCCGCCGACTCGGGACTGCGCCATCCAAGATTCCATTTGCCCGTCTCACCGGTCGGATCGTGTTCTGGCCCCGGGAGAACAAAGGCACGCTTGAACCAGGATGACTTGGTGGGCCGGGGTGGTAATGAAGCTCCTGATGCTGGTTGGACTTGGAACTGAGGTTGGAATTGAGGTTGAGGTTTCTCATCCAGACGCTCAGATCGTGTCTCCTTGGTTGTGGATGGATTGGACAGCTCCCTCCTAAGCATGAGATCCAATTCTTCGATCACTGCTTGCTGCGTCCAAAAGGAGGAGTGGTTCTCACTCCCAACCAGAGTTATGATGACCCCCGTGGTCTGGTGGTTGGGCAATGAGGGTGAAACGACGTTCTGTTGGGTCAGAGTTCCCGTCGACCTCAGCATGTCCGCTGGGACGACAACGATGGTGAGGTGGTTGCATAAGTTGGATACATGGGTTGCAAAACAGGCGACGAGAGACTCTACGACTAGCTCGTAGATACGTCGCGTACGTTCCTGTCGGATCAAAGATGTGCTCGACGCTGGTCTCAGTCTTGGGTCCTGGTCTGATGCATTGGGTGAGACAGCGACTGCCTCTTCATAGGTAGGGATGCGATCATGGAGATCTCGGTCGAAGGGCGCTTTGGACATGCCTGTAGGAGGACGGTCTTCACAAGATTGAGGTCAAATGAATCTGGGGTAGTCTCGGTATGCAGTAGAGGGGCGCGCTCTTTCAGAGAGGGAGAGAGCGGGAGAGCGAGCAAGTGAGTAATCGGTATACCGAGGACAAGGAACCGAGTCACATGGAGGATGTGCTAGCATTCAAGATCAGCCTCATCGTCACTGCCCAGAGACAGTGAATTCGCTCGAGGAGGAATGCGATGCCGTTTGCCGACTTGGGCTATTTCGAGCGGCACTGACCGGTGAGCGCTGGTTCGCGGATATAGTTGGTGGAAGTCAAAAACGGATGCCCGGCATTAGCGAGAACGCAACCGTTGTCTTCTAGAAGGCGAGGGAGGAGCTTCCTAAGAGGCGGGAAACTAACATGCTTTTGGGGCCAAAGTCTGGCGATCAGGCAGACTTGTGTGGGCAGCTTGAGGATGAAGACAGAAAAGCCTCACCACATTGGATGAAACTAACCAAGCAACCAAGCAACCAGCTCGCCAGGTAGTTCGCTTGCTCTGCCTGCGCCTGCGCCCAGACAACGCCGTGTCACAACCACCTCCACCTCCACGCCCCCTCCCATCATGCTACTACTTGGTACTTGGTATCATCTACAAGGTATCTCAAACAAACATCCGGTCTGCCTTGACTCATCCGTTCATATGGCCCCCTCCACTCTTGTCCCGTATTCGCATATGATTAGTTCACCATTAAACCACTGCACAACGGCATTCAGTCCTCGTGACAACCATCCAAGATCCCCTGCCCTTCCGCTTCTGCCTCATACCTCCACCTGCATTGAACTTTAGGACCACTTCAGAAGAAAATGCCAACACTACACAGAGCCTAGGGCGGTACATGGCAGACTGGATGGATCCTGCCTATGGACCAGGTACAGCCTCGGTCTTGATGTTTGAGCAGGATCATGCAATAGCAAACATGGACCAATCTTCGCAGATCCGTGGTCTCTACAATGATGGTCCTTAGTATTTATTCCTGCTTCTCACCTTCGTTCAGTCAGCCTGTTCCTTCTCTCCTCGCCCTGGCCAAACAAAGCCCTCTGTGACAAAGTCCTTGTACCACTTGCTTGCATCTCTGTGTCACCATCTTCCTTCATCATTTACTTCGGCCTGCCCCCTACCACAGTACCAGCCCATCTTCCTGATACACCAGTTCGATCACCCATATGCCCGGCATGTGGTATCATATCTCAAACGCCAATGAGTACCTCGTCGTCACCGGCGCCGGCGTCGACGACGTGCGGATTGTCAAGAAAGCCCTTGTCTACCCATGGCAGCGCGTCGCTCGGATCTCCGTTTCGCCCTTTGACTTCTCACTCAACCTGCAGGCCATGACCATCGAAAAACTCCAGTTCGCCCTGCCTGCCGTCTTCACCATCGGCCCAGATAACAAGCCAGAAGCCCTCAAGAAGTATGCATTGCTCCTCAGCGGGAACCCAGATGGCACCCCTTCCGCCGGCCGGAAACCTGGCCAGGCCATTGTGCCGACCCAGAGAGGCCATGTCCAAGACATCGTGAAAGGTATCATTGAGGGAGAGACCCGTGTCATTGTCTCAAGCATGACCATGGAGGAAATCTTCAAGGAGCGGCAGGTCTTCAAGCAGAAGGTAACGCTAATTCGAATCTGATGGCAACCACTGATCACAGCACTGACGGGGGTTGTAGGTTATCGAGAACGTCCAGAACGAATTGGACCAGTTTGGCCTGCGCATCTACAATGCCAACGTCAAGGAACTTCAAGACACCCCAGGCTCCGAGTACTTTGCCTTTCTCTCTCGCAAAGCCCACGAAGGAGCGTCCAATCAAGCCCGTATCGATGTGGCCGAAGCTCGCATGCGAGGTGAAATTGGCGAGGCTGCCAAACGTGGTCATACAAAGCAGGAAATCTCCAAGATTGAAGCAGAGACGGCGGTGCTCGAGACCAAGCGGAGAGGTGAGTTGCCTCTGCTCTACAACAACACGGCAAAAAAGCTGACACATGAACTACAGCCGACAAGGCCCAAGCAGACGCCGAGCTCACCAACCGGCAGACCGAACTGGACATGACCATTCAAATCAATCAGATCCAAGCCCGCAGAGCCGCCGAAGCCCGCGACTCTGAACTGCAGAAAGAGGTCGAGATGAAAAAGGCGGCTACGGAGCTTGAACGTCTTCGCGCCAAAGACCTCGTACGAGCCCAAATCTCAAAGGAGACGACCCAACAAGAGGCCGACGCAGACCTCTACCGAGCATCCAAGGAAGCAGATGCCAAGGCCTACGCGGAAAAGCAGGATGCCGACGCCCAGTTGTTCAAGCAGCAACGTCAAATTCAAGCTAGCGTCGAACGCCAGACGAAAGAGGCCGACGCCATGTACCATGCCAGGATGCGTGAAGCTGAAGCCACCAAGGCCCAGGCGGAAGCGTACCGGGAGTTGGCTGACGCATTCGGCGGACCTCAAGGCCTTCTTCAGTACATGATGCTGAAGGAGAACGTCTACGAGAAGCTTGCCTTGGCCAACGCAAAGGCCATCCAAGGTCTCCAGCCCAAGATCACGGTGTGGAACACGGGCAACGGCGACGGCAGTGGCGCCATGGAACAAGGCATCGCGCCGATCAAGAACATCATGCAGTCCCTGCCTCCACTGCTCACCACGATCCAGGAACAAACCGGCATGACGCCGCCGAACTGGATGGTGCAAATGCCCAAGGATATCAACGGACAACTCAAACCCGAGGAACGGAGAAAGATCCTGAGCCACGGCACCGCCGACGAGAAGAGAGGCTGATCCACTCCTTCCTCCACTGACGCATTTTCTCCTTCGTGCAGACAGACAGACAGACACTCACAAGGGGTAAGACACCGTGACATTGACCTGATCTCCTGCATTGATGCGAAGTCTGTGCCGATCAATCCCGAGAGAAGATGTATGAGGACCGACTCCAATACTCCCAACACTCACCCACTCCCTTGCAGGACACATCTTTTTTTTTCCCCCTGTTTTTTTGTTTTGTTTACGAAGCATATATATCCCTCATGGCGAAATCTGAGACAAATCAGGCAGGCATTTAGGAAGTGTCCGTGTCTCGCAGACAGACGGACAGACACTGTAATGGGAGCTGGTTGCTGGTTGCCAGTCTGCATCTATGTATGTGTGTGTGTGTATGTATCTACTGCATGTACCTTTACTTATCTAGGTACCCTATAAGGCATTAACTATCACTCGAGTTTCCCTTCCAAGTCCTTCCTCCGTGCTGCGCTGTAGTTTCTTTGGCAGAGTCTCTAGTAGTCTATATCATTTCACTTGTCGGGTGCAATATCCCTCGTTCCCTCTTCTTATTTTCTCTTCTGGCAAACCACAAGGACGAAGTTCTCTGGCTTGAATTGCAATCTACTTTTCTTCTTCCTCAGGGGCCATGTAATCATTCAACTTTTTTTCCATTTTGGATATGCTGGCAGTCGTATACTTAAGGAATACTTCCTGCAGCTCTGCTATCTATTGTGTGGCCATTTCAATGTCCTTTTCCCAAAATGACTTCTAATTCTCGGCGACGAGTGGCAAAAACAAGCAGCACGTTGCTGTCTTTCCGTCTGATGTCCCTCAACATGCCATCGTCTGTCTGTTTCGGCAGTTGTCGAGCTTCCTTCCCGAGTTCCACATCATTTCCTCCCAAAACTAGAAAAAGTATTCGAAGAATCCGTCCCTACCCCCCCTTTCTCTTTCCCTTAAACCCTAGGGCTAATAGTCCTTGCCTGGCGAATGATCGTGGTCGACATGATGTCCATGTCCATGTCGAAGTCGAAATCAAAAACTTGTGTCAGATGACAATACACTCCATACCGGTCCGATACCAACCAAATCCTGCTTGCCTGCTCTGGTGTACAAAACGATCGAAAACTGGTCTCTAAACCATAACAACATGCTGGGGTAATTGCTGGAATGTCGTTTCGATCGTAACAAAAAGAACAGAAATCCACCAGAAACAATGCATCCTCTGTCTGTCTCAAATAACTTTCTGAGAAGCCCTCGCGTGTCCAAAACGAATCGTGTTTGGTTATCCAGGGATCAGAATTCACCTGGTTAAGTAGATGACTTTACACATCGATCATTTCCGCATCTTCAGCGAGAACCTCATCGGCAGGTCCCCAATTACCTTCAAAGACGGTCGCTCCTGCACGCCGCCTCGTTTCCGCCCACCTCACGCCTTCGGTGTTGAGCAGCTCGTCGGCAATAGGGCGGTCGCTTGGGTCTGGAGATATCATCCAGCGCACGATTCGGTCGAGAGCTTGTTCGTGCGAGGGATCCACCATAAACTGAGGTGGATCGACCAGTTCGCCGCTTCGCTCAAACCGTGAGGGCTTTTGGTGAGGCCGGGCGACAGTTGGCTCGAAATCATCACCGTCCATCACTTCCACATCGTGCTGGTCGCTGTCCGAGCGGAATTGAAAGGAACTCTCTTTAGAGATCGGGTTACCGGACGAGTCCCTTAGAATCCCGCTCGTTCCAGAACTCCATGTCAAGCTTGGAACATCGCTCATATCACCATTTCGCAGCTTCTGCCAGGACACCCCGTTGTCTGGGAGTTCGACATTTCCAGCCGTCTCGAGCATGATCAGACCAAGTGCAAATATGTCAGCAGGTTTATCGTATCGACCCATCAGAATCTCTGGTCCGATGTACTCTCGGTCTCCTTCGCCTTCGATGCCAGCCTTTGCTGGCCAGCGGGTTGCCATACCGAAGTCCGCAATCTTGAGAACGCCCTCAAATGTGATGAGGATGTTCGCAGGCTTGAGGTCGAGATGGATGAATCCCGAGTCGTGTATGTGTTTTATACCCTGGTCGCTGTTAGATTGGACAAGAGTGATGGGGTTCTCCACACTTACTATTGCCAGCTCAAGAAGGATCTTCCAGATGCGGAAATCGTCTAACCTTGCTTTCAGGCCAACCTGTGCAAGGAAGACGTCAAGCGTGCCCTCTTCGCAGAATTCTGTCTGAATGTACAGATGGCCGTTTTCTTCCCAGCTGTCGACAAAAGTCACAATGTGATCTGAATGACCCAAGGCCTTGAGCACATCCACCTCGTGGATTTTTCTCTGGCGATCTCGAGCACCAGTATAAGGATCCCGGGATCTCTTCACTGCCCAAACCTTTTCCGGGATAGAACTTCTCGAGGATGGACGACTGGTCGACACGGAATAGATCTTATGGAATGGCGATGTCTCCGGGGGTTGCGCGACTCGATAGACTTGCGAGAACTCCCCAGAGCCAATAAGGTCAACCTTATTAAACCTTGACGTCAAGCTACTGTCGATGTTCGTGGCGTCCGATGAGGTGAGGTTCAAGCTTGGACGGTTGGAGAAATTCGAAAAGTATTCTCGTGGCCCAGTTGGTGTTGCTGGAATGATAGGTGCCATGTTATTCTGCCTTGTTGGCGGACGTTCAGCGCGTCCTGAAATGGTAAGGCCACTTGGGTCGGGGGGAAAGAAGCTGTCGAGAGGCGTGTGAGGAGACCCGCGATCTGTCTTTTCAATCCTTGGGCTTACTGGAGGCACAGATGTTCTCTTAGCACGTTCCAAAGCAGGGGGAGGGATTGTCGGAATCGAGATCGTCCTCCTCGTCGAGAGAGGATATCTGAGATCTTTCGAAGTCCGGCCTTGGGAAAGAGCGGGATCCGGGAGGGTGACGACAGTCAGCGCCGACTTTGGTCTCAGGTTGGCGGATGGGGAATCTTCCATCACGCTGTCACTGTCCAGGTCGACGCATCCTGGCGATGCTACAATAGGAGACAACTTACTGCTTGACAAACGAGTTACGTGGGCAGGAGGAGCGATTACTCGATTGGTGGACAAGGCTGGTTGGTGTGGTGATGGAGAAACTGAACTTCGATCGTGAAGCTCTGTCAAAGGTTTGGTAGGTGTAGGGGGGTAATCAGAGTCGGTTGACTGGCTGTTTGCCCGACTTAGTGGGGAGCGACCGTTCGCTTTCTCTTCGGGGTCGATGGATGTTAAACTTCCATCTCGAAGCAAATTGTGTCGACTGGGTCGACGTCCAAATATGCCAACACTTTTGGAGAATGGAAAGGCCGACACCTTGGAAGGACCGTGGCCCCCTTCGAGGGGACTGGGGGGGACACCGAAAGATTGGCGAGAGATCCTATTGACAGCACTCTTTGCGAATTTCTCCTCGTTCTGAAAGATGGCTGGCTGTTTTTTGCAGGGCGTATCTGGCATATGGGCTTTGGGCAGGCCGGCATTCGGGTCGTCCACATTGCGGTTCTTCTTCGAGATGAGACCAGTCGACATGAAAGCAGCCGGCAGGGGTTTAGCAGATTTGTAATTGCCTGGAGTAGCGAAAGAGGTCTGGGAGGAAAATTCGTTGTCTTCAGGAGATGGAACTGGCCTAGAGGAGCCAACCGGCAAGGATTTTGAGAAATCATGAGAACGAGGTCTGCTTGGGCGGTGCATCGGTTCATGGGTAGGTGAATCGTCTTGCTCATCAGGCTGAGATGACGACTGGGTCATGGTGCGGGAAAGGGGATGTCGAGGCTGATAGGACGAGCCGGTTTGCATCGTAGTCATCGGATGGATCGATGCGCTCAGGAGATTCCCTGAACTTGGGAATGGACTGTCGCCTGGGAATGGATTCATGTGGTTATCCAGAGACATGCGCATTTCCTTTTTGGGGTTTGCTATTGGAGTGAAGTCTAACCAAGACTTGTCCCCTTCCGTGGCATTTTGGAATTTCACATTGCTCGATCGGTCAATCTGTCTCTGCTGGATGGTCGACTTCCGTAAAGACGAGGACCGTTTTGGAATCGTTGAAAATCGTGATGATGACAAGAAAGAGTTGTTCAGAAACCAATCGTTGTCATCTTGCGCTCGTTTGTCACCGAACATTCCACTTTCCGAACTATCAGACTCGAATATGCTGAAATCGAGGCCTGGCCCGTGGAGACTTCTCCTCTTCGCTGAAGGACTCTCGCAGCCTGGTGTTTCGTCGGACCTTGGGCCGTCTGATCTTTTCATAGGACTTAAAGGAGCGACGGCTGTGATCAACATCCCACCACTTCGTCTTTTCTCCTGGCGAGTATGAACACTCTTCCAGCTGAGGGGTTCATTGACGGATTTATCGTTTTCCTTTTCCTCGCCAGCGGTCAAACTTTTCAAAGCCAGTTCGCGCTCTGCCTCTGCCGAAGTCCTCTTGCGAAGTGGCATAGGGGATGAGTTCCCACTGTCGCTGGCATCCGTCAGGATTCGTTTCGTAGGACTCCTAGGCGAAGTGCGGAGGCGAGACACCCCATGAGATTGATTTGTTCGTCGAAGGGGAGGACGTGGGAAACGCGGGGCAGAAGCACTTCGATTCGGATGAGAGCTCATACCACCTAGATGTAGAAAATTGTCAGAGGTCGCAATCCTCGATGGTGAAAGCGGAGAAGGCGAGAATGGTAATTTGCCAGGTCCGGGGGATCGAAGTGACTGCTGACGAAACTCTGAGCCTTTTGAAGGTGAGCGAGATAGTGAACGGCGTATCTCGCGTATGGCAGAATGGGGGTCGAAATGTGAGAAGGCACTCTTCGGTGAGTGCTCCTCACGATGAGGAGAGTATGTGGCCATCATGGCTGGCCGGGAGTCACTCTGGTTCAACGCAGCACTATAAACTGATTCTCTTCCCAGGAGTCTGCCATGAACTTGTAGGTTCCGATAGGACAGCACTCAGACAGCACTCCTTGCGACCCAAATCTTGTGGTGCAGGCAACTTGTCCAGAAGTTGTTGACGGATCCTGGGTAGATCTACCGATGGCCTCGCATATCAACGGATGGGTTGTGGCATGTGTGTCGGTGCCGGTTGTAGCGGAGTTGGAAACGATAGGATATCCTGGCGCAGTACGAGATATTGTCCCGCAGAGCGATATCCAGCGGAGGTCTGCTAAGATGATCTCGCTCAACAGGACAGTGAGGGCGGTAGGACAAGTTCGGATGAGGATGAGAGGTGCGGATATCTGTTAGTGCGATATGAAGGGGGGACAAAGTGTCAGAAGTTGAGATGAAGTGAAGCTAAGTAGGAGGAAGTCGGCAAGAGTTGTATGCTGACTATTTGACGTAGATAGAGGAGAAAGGATGCTCGCTGATCCCTCTCTGGTCGCCGGGGAGGTCGGGTCGCGAACGGTGGTGTATTTGTCCTCTAAGGGTTCAGATTCTCGAAGCGATCGCGTGCGCTGCACAAGGGGAAGCAGGCGCTGATGACGACTAATGTTTGTGGCGACGAGGACTTGGGAAGGAAGTTGTGCCAATCGCGGATCGGCTGGGAAGCAAGTAAGAGAGTTGCAATGAAAGGTGCTGAAAGCGCGTTGTAAGTGGACGAATCGCAAGATATGTCGTGGTCGAGTTTCGGGTCATTTCTTTGGACAGAAGACTCAAAGGCCATGACACGCTTTTTTTTCGTGGGTACCAGGTGCAAGACGCGTCCTAGGTGCCAGGCGGTGGGAGGCGTGTGCCAAGGATAAACAAAGACCCTAACCGGACTAGCGTCCAGGCTCCACTGCCGCCGCCATGGATCGTCATCCTCAGTGCGACAATCTGGGATCTGGGAGGGCAGCTGACTTCCCTCAGAGCCCTCCACCCCCGTCTTCTGCTTTGGTCTCTGAGCAATTTGTTTCTGGCCTCTACGCGAAATCATTTTGCTCCGTACAACCGTGCAATTTCTACCCTTGTGCAACATTGGAGAAGATAACCCCCGGGGATTCTTGGGTCGTGACGAGACACTGCCTTTCATGTCCAGGCTCAGGTCCCGCGATACTTTCAGCACGAGCTGAAGCTTATGCCTCCCGATCCTCAGCCTGCGGAGTCTACGAGGTGGAAGGAAGGGAAAACAATACCCTGAATAGCGTTGCGGTGGGGTCCGAAGGGGTCTGTCAACGGTCCGAGTGAATGGTCTACATACAAGTACAAGTACGGAGAGTTTGGTGGTAGGTAGCCTTGCAATAACACTTATGCGTTCATCCCTCCTGATGGACACATCTCTGGCCCCTCAGCCAACGTCCGAGCACCAAAGATGATGCTCCCCCAGATCCTTGGAGGACCCTTACCTATTTCAATGCCAGATTCGGTTCCCTGGCGAGCTGTCCACTTTGATTTGAGAGGCCCACGTTGCAACCGTCGAGTCGTGCATTCTGCCGATGGTGGCATATTGATGCCCAACCCTGCCAGCGTGCTTACTCGTTTGCTTACCCACTGGCTGAGCCTACGCGACGCTCATATGCCTCCCAGCCCGCCTGCTGATACTCTTTGACTGCACTCACCGGATCAGTCGCAGCATAGATCCCTCTACCGGCGATAAGAAAATCTGACCCCCCCTCCATTGCTGTTGTAGGTGTTTGATATTGCTGACCTAGCGCATCTCCTTTACTGGACATGTTGACACCCGTGGTGAACACTACGAAATCTTCATAACGCGTGGCGCCGGCGCAGTGGCTGGATAACTCCCTCGTTGACACGAAGCCTAGGACACTTTGGGGGTATTTTCTTGCAATCTCGACCGATATTCGAGTGTACTCGCCCACTGCCAGTGACCCCTTTGAGGTCATTTCGGCCAGAATTAGAATGCCTCGTTCACGTATCCCACCATCACGGATGGATTGGTCCAGGGCCTGAATGATCCCCTCGCCAGGAAGCATCGTAGCGTTGACGATATGGGCCCATTCGTGAATCCGCAGTGCTCCCCCTCTATATTGCTTCTGGACGGTGTTGCCAATGTCAACAAACTTTCTGTCCTCAAACAGAAGAAAGTCGTGACGTTGCGCCAATCGGGCCAGTCCTTCAACTGTAGCAGGGCCGAAGTCTGAGACAATGTCGATATGCGTTTTGAGAACAGCAATATGGGGGCCCAGACCTACGAGACAAAACGACAGAGTTAGGACGTGTCTTTAATCAGTGTCTTCAGTTGGGATATCGCACGCGGGACAAATTTGGGTTGTGGAATACAGAGTCCAGAGAATCAATCAATCCACTTACTGTCAGCAATGGCCAAGAGTTCCTCGGTCGTAGTCAGGTCTGCCGACAGCACAATGTTGGTCTTTTTCCGTTCGGCTATCTCAAACAGTCGCCGGACAAGAGGATGCGGGTGTCTTTGAGCACGCTGGCTGTAGGGCAGGTGACTCTGAGAAGCCATAACCGCGGGTGCTGTTCACGGGGGCGTTTCTCGGTCGGAAGTCTTTTTTCTGTCAATGAAAAAAAAAACGTGTTTTAAGCGATCGGAGGAATCATCAGGTCAGGCACAACAGGTACCGGAGGCCAGGTCCGTAGAAGGCGGTGGATGCAAAACTGAGGGTCGAGAGATGTGGTTGGACCAAAGTAGCCAGTTCCGAGGCTGATGGTCAGTGTGTGGGTGTGGTGCTGGGGACGGTGGTGGTTGCGACGATGATGGTGAGGCCGATGGTGCGAAATCCAAGCCTTCGCTAGGGCAGAGGCTGCAGCGGGAGGCACCCAGGCAAAACTCGCCAGCAGAAAATGCCACGTTTGAGAAAGAGCCGTGCAGCAGCTCCGAGGGAGCCACGGAGTCTAGGAGCCTAGAAGCCTAGACCAAGCCCAAAACTCTGCGGATGGGGGGGTCAGCCACCAATTGAAGCCACATCTGGACAACGGTGGGCGCGCAGGCTGCATCCCAGTAGCAAGGCCCAAAGATGACGCTGTGCAGATGCAAGCCCACTCGTAACCGCTTCCCCGTTCCCTTTCCCATCCGCCATTTGCCCATTCACCATTACGTTGCTGTTTGGTCCATTATTGCAGCGGCCTACGATCCCCATTATTCTTTCTTTCCCCTGTTTCTAACCACCATTTACATCCTCCCAACTCTTAGAACCTCACGCAATCTATTCCCCCAGCAAAACCCGCCTCGCCATTTCGCCGTTGCCCCCGAATCCCGACTCGGATTCGTTGTTGTGTCCCGTCAGCAAGACGGCTTAACTCTGCTCGGGTTTCTCTCGCCCATTTCTCCCCAATGAATCGTCCAGCATAGCAGTCGAACGATCATCGTACGATCCTCTCACTTTGACCATCCCTCACCCTGCGAATTCCTTTACACCTTTCTGACAAGCGTCCACCTCCAACCTCTACCACGGTCTCATTCATCAATTCACCCCCTCCTGATCCTGGTCAGTCTAGCCGCGATGAACTCGCAGACTCGGGTCGTCGAGTAAACCCTTTAGGAACGTCGCAGTTAGGGGGGAGGTGTTACGGCAAAGAAAAAACAAATACATTATTCAAATCATGTCAGAGGCGCCGTCAGATAACATTCCGGCATTGGGACCTGGCCAACTTGAGCAATCCAAAACATCTCGCGAGACATCTCCGGCGCGCAATTCTCGCAGTGTGTCCAGCATCCCTCAACTTTCGCGGTCGCGCAAGGGAAGCCAGGAATTCAGTCCGACACGGAACAGTGGCACAGCCGGATACCTATCAACTGTGCCTTCAGCGGCTGCTGTCCAGCGAGCTCTGTCTGCGCAGAGGCCTAATTTACCACCTCCTAGTGTTGATTCGGTGCTCGAGGGCGGACGTCCTTCCGAACGACAAATGAAAGCAGGTCAAAACCCACCGTCATGGCCCACGTCGCCCCGACTGAAGTCCCCGCCGCCTTCGAAGACTGGCACAAGGGCCCCGTCAATGAAACGGAGTGATTCAGACCAGACGCCATCCAATACTTCGCTGAAAAGATTGGCACCTGTCTCTCACCCTGACCAAGCCGCCGCCATGCAGATACCTGACACTCACGAACCAAATGGCACTCATTCCAGCTCGAGAGTATCAGGTCGAGGACCAAGTACTACCCTTGAGACGGTGGCAGAAAACAGCGCTCCCACGACTCCTGCAATCGGTCCGATTTCGACTTCATCGTTAGAGCCAAAGGTGGATGTCGCGTCTCTTGACCAGAGGCCTGAGCCGCGACCTGATCCACCGGCCGTTAGAGATGGTGAAGGTAGTGGTGGGGATGGCCCTTCGAAAGTCACTGTCGCCAAAACAGAAAGCGGTCGGAGGTCAAGGGCTCCAAGCAGTTCCCGACCGGCTTCAGATTTAGCAAAGCGCTCCTTCACCAGCCTCACGGGCGCCAAACCTAAACCAACTGGCGACCCCCCACGGACCATGACCGTTGAGACAGAGACTGTTACGTCCATGCCTCAATTGCTGGGCCCGGACCGAGGTGCTTCGGGCAGGGATGGTAACGGTAGTGTAAGGACCAAACCGAGCACCGAAACCATCCGGGCGAAAAAGGAGAAGAAGAAATCTCGCAAGGCTCCTTCGCTTCATGCTGGCACAGTCACTTCCAAAGCCGACCTGTTCGAGGCCAAAGTCGCTAGTGCGGTGGATGAAGCTGATTCCTCCGATTCAGATGAGACTTTCGTTTACGAGTCGAACCCACCAGACAACAGGCCCTCACGGCATCATTCTCGAACACCCAGTGCCACATCTCTGGCCAGCCAAGAACAATTTGGGAACCGCAATAAACACGGTCTTCGTACCGGCGGTCAAGCGATAACTGGGAGGAAGAGTATGAAGTTTTCGAGTAGCACTTACAACAATCTCCTGGATGGCGAGTCTGGGCCAGAAGGACGGGGAAGCCAACGTAACTCGAGTTCAACGCCCCGTCATCATCACATCAGTCGGCATGGACGGCCCCACCACACCTCCATCCTGGATACGGAGTCACCTTTCACTCAGGCAAACAAGACAAATCCCTCGCGCTCGACGACCAACAATCCCTCACGATTTTCTCGACCAAATAGCCCCCGGACCTCCAATGGACGGGTGCCAGGCATCTTGCGTAAAGGCGAACCCTTTGATTCTTATGAGGATGCCGTCGCTGACGACGAGAGGGCACCACTTCTTGGATCGGTCCGCATTAACCGAACGCGACACAGCCGTCGCCCGCATAGCACCAGTCTCCGGCACTTCGAATACAACGATGTCCCTGACCGGAGTTGGTGCGGCGGATATAGCGGTTGTATTTTGCTGGGTCTTGTTATTCTCTTGGTCTGTGTTGGCATCACCACGTTTGTGATGGCCCTCAATCGGCCGCTCATGGATGTTTCCATCAAGCATATTCAGAATGTGCTTGCATCGGAGCAGGAGCTCATGCTCGATCTGGACGTGTTGGCTATCAACACGAATCTTTTCCCGATCACGGTAAATGACCTGGATGTTAATCTCTTTGCCGAAAGCCCTTACGTGGGCACCACATCCAATTGGGACTTGCGTGGCCAGAGAAGAGCGCTGCGATGGGTTCAGCGAGAGCAGCCAGATACCCAGGGTTTCGACTGGCCGCCATGGCATTCGGACGATGGAGTGGACGAAGGGACTGATCCAATTGACGACCCTGAGTCAGGCACACAGAAAATGCTGCTGGGAAGGGTTCTCGTCTTCGATTCACCGTTGGTCTTTGATGCGTCTCCCGTTCGACACAGCCACACTTCGTCGGTTGGTGAGATCCGACTTGCGAGACCCGGCAACAAGACTGAAGTCGGGGGCAGTGCACGTTGGGAGAGAGTGCTTCAACACCCCTTTGATCTTATTGTTAGAGGCGTCATCAAGTACCAGCTTCCTTTGAGCTCCAAAACCAGATCTGCCAAGATTGGCAGTCGAGTTAAGGTGTTACCCAACGACGACAAATCTGGGGATGACTCGGAAGGGTCTCGAACCAAACCAAAGGCTTGAGACGTTTTGAGAAGATATTGGGAGTTATGATTGGGACGAATTTCATTTGTGCATGAACAAGACCCGCCTATTGTTGGTGGGCATCTAACGACCGAGATACCCAAAGGACTGTGTCCGGGAAAGAGAAAAGCATTGGGATTGCAAGCTTATACTTGGCTATACAATGGTCGGCGAAGAAAACCAGCGCATCAGCGCAGGGGCGTGAAGGCAAATAACGGAGAACTGGGTGGAAAAGGCATTCAGCCTTGTGTCAGGGCAACCGTCAGTTGCATGTTGTTTTCCTTGTTGACGGCCTCTTTTTCCTCTTGTTATATAGGGCATTTAATTGCCGTGGAGGCTCAGCAGAGAGGGAAACCAAAAGCCCAAATCAAAAGTTCCCCATAGAATATGTCAGGTACTTTTCTCTCTCTGACCGGTTTCTCCATGCTTGTTGGGCCGCAGCCCTGTTGGATTTTCTTGGGAGAGATCAGGTTGCAAAATGACTGGGTGTTTCTATCGAGGCTTTTTGTCCTGACATTCTGGCAGTTGCGGGCTGATTGTTGTCATTACAAACATATTTGCAAGATAACATGTTGGAAATGTCGGCTTACTGTCCATCAATTGAACGTGTCAGACATGGAAGATAAATGTTTGTCACACGGGACTAGCGAAAACAAACAACTGCCCAGCTGGGCGAGCGCTGGCAAGGCGCTGGTGGGGCACCAATGGGGTGGTTGGGCGCCGTATGCAATGTACGTCACGCTGCCTCTGACTTTGTGACTTGGTCTGTTATTATTTCTCTCAACGGCCATTAAGCAGCAGAGGCTGGTTGGTTGGTTGGCTGGCTGACTGACTGAACTGACTGGATGGCTGGTTGCTGTTTCAATTTAGTTGAGTCCCTAAAGACCAGATGGGCCACATGGGCCTTCTTCCACCTTCTGTTCCTCTCTTTTCGTCTCTTCTACCACCCCCTCTATCTCCTTCGACTCCTCCATCCCCTCCCGCCACCCCTCCTCTATTCGCCGCTACGCCACCCAGGTCGACTCTCTGCATGACCGTTTAAGTTGTCCAAGCCTGCTTTTATACCCACCTATCCAGGCAGTATCGTTCAGACTTCTCGGCGTTCTGTGCGCAGTTGGCTTTGCTTTCTCCAAGAGGCCCTTCCAGCGCCCACACACACAACACAAAGGGGATAAGATTAAATCTAGGGACACGCGCACAACCTTGGGAGGTCCGGCTCGTCCGTCTCCCGTCTTGACCGCCCGCAGTCCGGTTGCATGCACCATCTGATCCTTCCAGCTTGGGTGTGAATTGTCACCTGCTGCCAGCTCAACTCGACCGCTCATCCTCTTCTTGCCTTTCGTCTCTGCCTTCTGCATTTGTTTCACTTCTTCCTCTTCATTTCTGGGCACCTTCTTCAACGTCTCGAGAATACTCCCGAAAACCGCCTGCAAAAAAATCCACATCGTTCCTCAACCCCGCGCAACTCTGACAACCCGTGCATGTGATATATCCTTCTAATTACGCTTGGACTGATTTGTACGGCTGCAACTCCTGCTACTCCCCTCTTCCGGCCCCAAAATGGGCTCGGTGTACCGTGAGAAGTTCGACGACTCCCGAACATCGGTCTCGTCCAGCCGACGCGATGGCGGATACACAACTGTGAAGCGCTATGTGGTGAAAGAAGATGACAGCCGCTCCTCTGTGGGCCGGGAGCGGCGGTTTGTCCCCGAACGTGCAGGTGAAAGGCTCGAGGAAACTCGGTTCGTTCGCCGTGAGGTCGAAGAGCCTGTGCGTCGCGAAGAACCCCGCTACACAGAGCGTGAATTGGTTATCAAGCGCGAAAGAGATGATGAGCCTCGCAGAGACTATGTCTACGACACACGACGGGAAGAACCTGTCACAGAGAGGGAGCTCGTCATCAGACGCACAACTGAACGCGATGATCCTCATCGGAGTGATTTCGATGTGACCCGGTATGAGGACCGCAAGGTTGTCGACACCCGCTTTCGAGACGACTATGAGGTGCTGTCACCACGAGGGTATGACGATCGTGATGTGCAACGATATACCCGTACCACCGACTATTTTTCTCCTCCACCACCTCCGCAGACCATCATCATTCGTCAGGAGCCCATCATTATTCGAGAGAGAGTCCACGATGACGACTATCAAATTGTCCGCAAGGCAGACATCGACGAAGAACGTAGCATCGTCCGCCGAGACCCGCCGCCTCGCTCGCCTCGTGGAGAAGAGGACTACTTCTACGAGAAAAAGGTCAGGGAGCGCATTGACGACCGTCGCGATGACGACGACTACTATGAGCGTCGGAGTCGACGCCGGTCTGTGAGTCCTCATGATTCGGTCTCCCAAAGAGGCCGCGATTACAGCAGCGACGACAGCATGGTCTATGTCCGCAAAGAAACCCGTGAAGAAAGCCCTAGTCCTGACCGTAAACGAGGCCTTGCTGCTGGTGTCCTCGCAGGCGTCGGTGCAGCAGAACTTCTTCGAAATCACAAAAAGAAAGAAGGCCGTGATGTCCCCCATGGTATCGGTCGGATGGGACGCGATCTTGGGGCTGGCGCCTTGGGCGCTCTTACTGCCGAAGGTATCCACCGTGCCAGGTCAATGCACCGCAGCAAAAGCCGGCACCATTCCCGATCTGGGTCAAGGTCGCCAGGACGTTCTCGACGTCGAAGCAGGTCTCGTTCCTCATCGCCGTCGAAACTCAAGACTCTTGGAGCGGTGGGTCTCGGGGCGGCTGCACTCGCAGCTGCCGCAACTATTGCCTCCAAGCGCATGAACAAGTCCAAAGACGAGGGTGACCGTGGCCGCAGCCGATCGCGCTCTCGACGCCGGAGAGAGTCTGTTTCGAGTCTTGAAGACGATCCCGATGCGCCGACCGACGATGCCCGTAATCCCAAGCACCGCCGAAACACGATTGCAAAGGCTGGTGCAGGCGGTGCCATCGTTGCGGCATTGATTGAGCATGCTAGAAGCAAGTCTCGGGCTCGGGACGGCAAGGAACGATCCCGGAGCCGCATCAGACAGGCACTCCCCGTCGTCGCTGCTGGACTAGGTAGTGCTGCTGTTGCCGGGTTATATGAAAAACACAAAGCGAAGAAAGAAGCCGAAGAGATTGTAGACGAGCGGCGTCGTGCTCGCTCACGGTCCAGAAGCCGGGCGAGATCTGAGCATGCGTACTACGATGGGCCCGCGCAAGCTGCAATGACTGATCCGGGGCTAATCGAATACGGAAACGCACCCATGTATGGCAACAACTTCGGCCCAGATTACTATGGGAGACCGCCACCAGCAGATGGATACTACTCCAACGCTGTTGTGCCCGCTGCCACAGGTGCAGCAGCAGGTTACGGGGCCCAACGAGGGACCAGAAGTAGAAGCCGGAGTCTGAGTCGTGAACGAGGTGGTCGAAGGTCGTCTCGCAGTTCCAGCTCCTCCCCAGACCGCAGCAGACGCAGACATTCGCGCGATGCCGCAAAGATGACAGCAGCTGCCGCTGCAGGGGCGATTGGAGCGACCGAGTATGAAAAGAGGAAGCAAGAGAGACGCGAACGTCGCGCACGAAAGCGTAAGTCTGTTTGGACCCCGAGAGATGAAATGCTGACACGGGCTTAGGTCGAGAAGAGGATGGCTACGGTCGTGATCCTTACGAGGACAACTATAATCCCGGAGCACAGTATGCCCCGACGCCACCACCTCCTGGACCCGTCAACGATCCGTATGCAAGTCAACAAGGATTCTATCCGCAAAGCAGTCAATTCCCGCCTCCACCAGGAGCTGTGCCTCAACCGTATCCCCCGCAAGCTGGCCCTGGTACGGCTCCACCTGGTGCTGCCCCGTATCCTGCACAGGCCTATCCTCCTCCCCCACCTCCTCCTGGTGCTCCGCCAGCTCCTGCTCAACCATACGATGCGTATGCTTCTGGTGCAAACCCTTACGCACCACGTGGTCCTGAAAATGTGAGTGCTGAGCCGAATCCTATATTTGGCAATTCTGTTGCACCTACTTTTCCCAGTAATGACCAGAGCCATGTCCCAGATGGTACGTCATTGTCATGTACCTTTTGCAAGCACTTCTCGGGTTAGGCAGTTTCTCGTGGCTGACATTCTTGGAAAATTAGGTCTAAATCGTTCCGTGCCGACTCCGCCTCCGCCGTTCTTTAGTACGCACGACCCTCCCCAAAATGATCCAATCAATCCTCCGCCACCGGCCCCCAATCCCCCGCGTCAGGGAACCTATTCTCCTCCAAGTGGACGAGGTGTATCCCCTCCACGCTCGCAATCCCAGCCGGCTCCATCAAGTCGGAAAAGCGTGCAGTTTGTCGAGACTCCTGAAGTCTCGGATGCTGTACCCGTGGAATCGGAAGCATCAAGTCCCGAGCGTCACCGCCATAGACACAAGCATTCGCACTCTCGCGGGTATGAAGCGGAAGACGACACAGATTCCACTCCCGACGAGCAGCGTCGAAGAAGGCGAGAACATTCGTCTCAATCACTCGACCCAGACTCGGCCGAAGGTGGCGATCGACGACGACATCACCGGCGTCGTCGCTCTTCTGAGCCGAGTTCATCTCGAGGTGAACCCAGCTCAGGTTACCAAGGCTCAAGACTCGAGCGTGTAACGAGTCCCACTGATTCTGATGCCACGATCGAACTACCTCCTAGGTTCGACGAGAAGGGGCGCAAGAAACCCGAGCCTGGCGAGGATCCCCTTGCGGAACGGCTGAATGAGATTCTTGCTGGAAAGGGAGCAGCAGGCAAGGTGTTTGGTAATTTCTTGGATGGGTTGTTTGGACCAGACGACCGGAGGAGGCGGGGCAGATAAACCTGAGGATCTTTATCATACGACGGAGTCCTCGTTGAGCATTTAGAAAGAAGCATGGTACACAGACACATTACGAGTCTCATTTTGCTTTGGTGGAGAGGGGTTTCTTGGGATTTTAGCTGGTTTGACTGCATCTGCGTCATGAAGTGATGACGACCACTTGAAGCGTGGATTATTTCCCCATCATGATCACGAATGTCTACGAAGGAAACATAAGCCAGATGAAAACGACACATGTAGCTGGGAAGACGAATGCCAGCGATTTGAAAAAGACGGGGACGTGGAGTTTGATCCCGATGTCAGTCTCTGATGACTTATGATTGTGCTTGGAAGGGATTGAGATGGGGATAGTTTTGGACATTTGTCAACGTTTTGCTAATGAAAGATCTCTGTTCACTCTTCTTCAGACTACATAAATAGACCATGACTGATCGTGCTAGTCTGAGACGTGCAGGTCGGACAATGGGTTGGGGAATAGTATGCCTTGCCTTGCCTTGCCTTGTCTTTCAGTTCGGGTATCGTTTATATCTGGCTATACTACATTATACTACCTACCTAGGTATACTGTACTATACCGTTGCCGTTACCGTACCGTGTATGAGAGATGAGGTCTAGGTACAGGTCCGTGAGTCATATAATGCATACAATCCTACATACATCCAGTACCTAAGGTACCCAAGGTCGATACCTAGGTAGGTAGTAAGTTATGTTAGGTAAAGTAGAACAAGGTCAAGTAAATGTCAACACCGCGTCGTTCTCCTTTTATCACCACCGTTCCTGTTTCTTGGTATACCCGCTCGCCGCGTCGGCCAGCCACCGTCCGATCTTGCCCGCGGTGCTTTTGCGTCGTTCGGGCTGTTTGCCTTTTCCTGCTGCCGCTGCGTCGGTCTCTTCACCCTGTGCGGCTTGTTCTTGCTCCTCCTCTGCCGAGAGCGTCTGAGCGAGGGCCGAGTCGGATTGGATCTGGCGCTGTTGTTCCTCGAGTTGGCGCAGGCGGGCCTTTTCCTCTTCGGCGGACAGGAGGGTCTGATCGCTGCCCTCGCCTGCCGCTGCTGGCAGGTCTGTCGATGCACCGTATGAGGGCAGCTCGTCATCTCCGCCAACGGTGCCAATAGGCCCTCGCTGTGAGTGTTGCGCTGCTCCCACTCCCGCTCCGACCGCCGACGACCCTTCAACGCTTTCCCTCCGAGCATCAGATTCGCGTCGATACGCCGGTGGCCCGCTCGCAGCCCGCTGGGCGTACGAGTCCGAGCTGCTGGGCCCAAACGCCGGGTCCATGGGGCGGAACCCCTTGCTGCGGAGTTTGGCTTCCTGGACGCGCTGCTCGCGCAGAGCCTTTTCCTCCTGGTTCCGCTCCTTCCAGTACTGGTAGAGCGGCCCGCGCGAGTACTCGTTTGTGAATATGGTTGGCATCTTGGGGCGGAGAAACCGAGGGGGGGAGGACAAGTCGATGGATAGATAGAATCGGAAGGGACGGATTGACGACTCAAGATAGTTTGATCTCGTCCAGAGCCTTAATGAAGACCTTCGATCCCGGTAGGTTTGGATGATTCAGGCGTGGGTGATGTCTCAATGCTGGTCGTAAATTCGGTGATAGTCTTCGAGCCGTTTGTTATTACCAGGCCTTACACTTCGAATGCTCGGGTCTTTGAGAGACGTAGGTGACGAAGATATGTAAAGCAAGGAAGGTAGGGAGGACGGGTCTTTGCGACTCCGATTCAACTTCTGGACAAATTGGACGAGTGAGTTGGTTGTTGTGCTTCCGCTCCTACCTGCCGCTTGTGTCCTTCGTACATACAGACCTTGTAGGTATGTCGTCGAACGCTAGAACGGACCGTCGGAACACTGATCCCTCACTTTTTGAGTGAATTGATATTAATAGAACAAATCGTCTTCTGATCAACAATGAGGCAGAGTGAAAGGTGGGAGAGGTTGGTTGTACAGAAAGGCTCGGCCGTTCGGTCTGGGATGCGTCATTTGTTCCTGGTTGCCTTGAGAAGACTTGTCGGGGTTACAGACCTATTAAGAGGCAGAGTAGTTAGTTATTCGTGGGGTAAAGCTAATGCTGGTGACAGTATATACTTTCCAGGTCAGGTGGCAGTGGTGGTGGTTCTCGTATTTGGAGCGACGTATTCGGCGTGCCGACTTTCCCGTTAGAGGATGGACAGATGGACGAGTCGGTTGTTCTGCTGTAGCCACCACCAGAGGCCATGAACAAACAGTTGAACCGGTTCCAAGACCAAGGTACGGGCACAAGTAAAGTAACTTTGTTCGTCTGGCTTCTCTACCATAATAGCACTGTGTAGTTAATGTCGAGTCCACATTCGTAGATGCTTGTAGACGCCCTCTTTGGGTCGGCAAGGGCGAGGTCAACCCACGGGTGATGCGAGCTTGAAACAGATTGGGCAACTGGACTCAATATGCACAGAACAGGCGGACATAACATTCAATTGCGGGCGTTGGTCATCAGAATGTAGCCGGCCCATACAGAGCATCAGTCTAGATGACACCCAAGTAGAATATTGGAACCCGTGTGAGCATCACGCATATGGCCGTGCAGTGTTGTATCTCCATCTCATCTCCATCAGCAGGATTATCGCTACCCTTTGATTCTCTGAGATGAATCTTGACCACCTGATCACACTCGTGCCATGTATCTCGCCAGCCCAAAGGACCATCGCAAAACCACCACGTTTAGAACACAAGAGCCGCACCCTTCGTCTTCTTGTCACCACTGTAGAACTCATGTCAGCATGGCATTCTCACTTGGCAGGTCGATAACATACCCCAACTCGAAGTGCTTGCATCGCTTCAGCGATAATTGTGCCTTGGTCTTGCATACTGTGCACTCCAATCTCAGCACCACCTTCTTGGTTGTCTTTGCCTTCTTGTGGAACACGGGCTTCGTTTGACCACCGTAACCGGACTGCTTGCGGTCATATCGACGTTTTCCTTGAGCGAACAGCGAGGCCTATCCAATATTTGTCAGTGTCCTCTCATCCCCATGTCGTTATACGCAGAGCGACTGGGGAAGAGAATCTCGTACTTTGCCAGCCTTGTACTGTGTAACTTTGTGTTGGGTGTGCTTCTTGCAGGTCTTGCCCTTGCAGTAGGTGCGGCGGGTCTTGGGAACGTTGACCTGATGAAACGAGACATTGGTTAGCATTGTCCAATACTTTGCAGACTCGCAGTTTGATCAAATCGATGTGTTCAAAGAGCCGCCAATTGCACCGCTCAAAAGATCTTGTCGAGGTCTGGACGAGATACTCGTTTCGATTTCTCGGTCCAAATCTATGTAGGTGTTGACCTCGTTGTTCCCGTCTCATTTCGCAATGTAGTCCATCTCTTCTTCATTCGTCTCGCCGATCCACTACCGCAGCGTGTATATCACGGAGGTATAACGTAAGGCATCGCAAATTCGTGACAGAAGGTACTCACCATCTTGACTATGTGACTGGCCGCAAAGGTTTGAGCAAGGTTTGGTTATTGCAGATGAATGTATCGACTGGCAGTTTTGAGGATTGAGCGCAAACCGCAGCCAGATGCCAAGACGCACAGTGTGAAAATGTGCGGACAGTAGGTATTAGGGCAGGTTTTCCGATAAGTTTTAGCTTCGTAGCGAGATAGCGGATTATCTTTATTCCGAAAAGAACCTACACCATCATCTCCCCACTACGCGTCACTGCTTGCAACTTCTTCAACCTCGTCTTCGACCCCTCCATCTTGGTCAGGCCGACCAGAGAAGCAGGTGGCAGGAGAAGCCATGGCCAAAGTCAACTTTGAAGATCTGTCCGGCAGCTCCACTCCTGTCACTGCAAACCCTTTCGACGGCCTGATCAATGCTTGCCATGGTGAACCTGTCAGTCTTGGTCGTCTATATGGTGTGATTCTATCTAATGTATGGGTCCCAGAAACTGATTCAAGAGCGGTATGCTACACATCGGACAACGCGGAATGCGCAGCAACGAGAGAAAATCCTCAGCGACGACTTCAAAGGCTGGATCCTCGACGAACATCTTGTCAAGCTCGATGGACCCAGGAAGGATCTATCGTACATAGACCCTCGTCACTGTCTCGTCTTCTGGGGGAGACCACCTCAGAGAGTCAAGACACTGGTAGATGTCATACAGTCCAAGCTGAAGGATGCTGCTCCAGGTACGCTCCCAGAATCCTACAGGGTTCGCACAACTCACCATACAGATCTCTGGCTCATGCCTCTTGACAATCTACATATGACGGTGATGGAAGTCGCCCACTCCAAGACCGAATCTGAGATTACTGATCTGATGAACACACTCAAAGATCACTGCAAGTCGATCGCAGATCATACCTCCTCGCATAGAGCTAGGCTTGTCAAACCTCTTCTGAGCTACGACTCGGCGGCTCTTGCTTTGAGCTTTGTGCCGGCTGCAGGAGAGTCACCGTCGAATGGTCGGACAGCTGATGATGATCGATACACATATCACCATTTGCGCCGCGATACATACTCTACCATAACAGATTCGGGGATACAGGTTGGCTCCAGATATGTTGTGCCTTCGGCTCATCTTACGATTGCGAGGTTCAACTCTCCCAACGTGTTCGGAGGAGATCCGTTGGACGAGAGCGTGACTCTTGACATCAAGAAGCGAAAACGATGGATCGGTGAGCTTGAAATGATCAACAAGTGGCTTGAAGCGGAATACTGGCCTCAAGAAGGACACTTGATCATGCCAGGGGGTGAGTGGGTTGTGGGCGAGGAAAAGGGTCTCGACTTCCGAAACGGCACTCTATGGTACGGCGGAGGCGCAACCATTTACCTTGGGGAGGGATTTGTCTATGGCGATACACCAGCGGCAAAGATCTCGTGACTTTACGCCCTGGAGGCTAAGGGGGGTCCCTGTTTTCGATTTGTTTGCTCTTGTCAAGAGGTAATGTGGATTTTTTTTGCAATATACCCTGTTTCAATACGGGACATCTCTCTTGATCATTGGTTTCTATTGGCCATGGTGCATTCCAGGGACCAGACACCCGATATACCTTTCTCGCAGGCTTATCCTCAACTTTCTCTCGAGCCATCTCTTATGATGCTGGACATGACGCTGACACAGCCGGAATACTTTTTACATTTCCTCACCGTTTGCAATTGACAGGTAACAGATGACGGGCTGATGCCCAGAGGAGTATGCGATGGAGCTTTTCCCTTCGTGTATGTGTAAACTGGGCAAGGTACCTTCTTGAACTATTAGCTCTTCTCGCTGATCAGGCTCGAAATTACCAAGACGTCTACTCCAACATGCTCCCGGTCGGCGACACGAGTATCATGACCGCGGACGAGGCGTGTGACATAGCCAAGGAGTTTTACGACGGATGTCACGCTGGTTGTGGTCCCGGGTTCTGGTCATTTTCTCGCCGAGGAGAATCCCGGGAGGGGGGTTGTTTGTGGATCAAGTGTTGAGCGTTCATTGAGTCTTGAAAGGAGTGCTATGGTGGCATGGTGGCATGGTATCGAATTGTGGTTTCATCCCTTGACTTAAGCTCGAGCATGCTCTGCGCCACACTTTGTCATACATACTCGTCCGATAAGTCATTTCTGATCCTAGAAGCATGGACCCAACTGGCTCGAGTCGAGATTACAACCGCCCTTCCTACAACCTTGTGCGTCTTCCTTTCCTTCTATCCCCGTTGTACTTTGTCAAAAACTGTAAAAATTGTTTTCTATCACGCCAGGCCCATGTACTCGGAACTACCACTGGGAGGATACGTGCCTGTTGTTCCGGACAGCCACTCTTGCAGGTTCTGATCCTGACCCTGGGTTTGGTTCTGGCTCTGGCTCGGTGCTGGAAAGTCCATGCTATTACCTTCGATATAGTGTGATGGACACAGAGTGTACTCGTAGATTGAATCGTTTACTCGTAGGCTGGTGATCCCGTCGCCCTCATCTCCGAGACAGACCGAGTGATCTGGAGTCAGTAGGAGATGATGTTGCCGGTGCTGGTGCTGATTTTGCTGTTGATGCTGATGCTGCTGACTCTCCGACTGCCGCCTCCGCAGCACATTGACTTCCATGCTGAGATCGGCAGCCACTTCTCTCAACAGGCTCAACCTCCTGTCCTGTGAGTAATAAGACTGCCACAGGTCGCGGTGCCGCAGGTGCAGATCGACAATCCGGCTCTGCAGGTTGTGGATATAGTCCTCTCGGCGGTGCCGGTAGGCTTGTTGGGACTCTCTGTTCTGGGCTCGACGACGCTGTGGGATTTTTTTTTGGGCATTAGATTTCGTTTTTTTTTTTGAGCTCCTGTACATGGGTGTGTAGTTTGGGGAGAGTGAAATATGGGGGGATGCCTTACTGATTGGGTTTCTTCATCGACCTCGTTCATGCGCGCTTTTCGTCTCCGTGGCTTCGACGATCGGGTGTTGGTCGTCGCCGGACTGGTCACGTAGGAGCCACTGCTCTCCGTCTCATATGGCGTTGTGCCTGCTGTGGTTCCTACTCCAGGAACATATGGCGTCGACGTCGCTGCTGTGAGGTCATAGATGCCGAAGTCCATGTGGCTATCTCCAAGATCCAGCTCGGCCTCCTCGTCCACAATCTGTTATTAGCGAGGTCAGCGTCGCAGAGAGTTTGCCGGAGGTGAAACGTACTAGTGACGATGAGCATGGTGCTGTTTCTGCGGGTGATTCACCATCAAAAAGCATTGCCTTGTATATTATCTCGTCCTTTTCGTTTGATTTTTTTCGAAGTGAAATCGCGTCAATATGGGAGACCAAGCTTTTTTTCTCTTCTCTTGGGAGAGAGAGGAAAAGGGGAGAAAAATGTTCCCAGCGGAGAAGACGAAAGAAAATGCGGTGCCTCGATCGCTGTTTATACCACCTGCCCATCGAAGACGCCGTATGCGGCCACTAGGGAAGCCTCCATCTCTCGCCCCAATCCCGATGGGGATGGTGCGAATGCCTAAATGAGCCTAGGTCAAAGCCCCCAGCTGCAAGGCTGCGGCCTACGCCAGACGATTGGTCCCTGTGGTATCGTCTAGCCCCGGTCCAATAAGCAAGGCTGTGGTTGTTGGGAAGGGGGCGAATTTTGACACGAGAAAAGAAGACTGATGATGCGGGACGGCGGCGCTACTTACTTACTACATTGCTTCCATCACCGATGGGTATTACCATGGGGCCGTGTGTCTCTTTGTGAGATGAGCACATCATTTGAGCAGCGTCGGATGTGGGTTACCAAGCAGACGGGTGGTTGCTCCCGTGTCACCTATTTCCAATAGCCTGCTCAGCTAGACATGGCTTTCTCATCTTCTGCTGATCGCGAGTACATGTCACTGACGACCGGTGAGTCAGGCTTGTTTTGAGTAGGTTGGCGGTTTACCGGGGATACGGTACTGCACTTATCTCGTCGAGATTTGGACGAAGAGTCGAAATACCACGAACGAGGTCGTACAAGGCTTCCGCGAACAACGCACATTTACGGCGTAAGTCCACAACACTTAGAGTGGGGATAGTAGGTCAAGAGCATTCGATGTCTGTATCACTCTCGCGGAACAAGCAAAGGAAGTGAACACGAACCGGAGGAATGTGTGGGACTCATATAGTTGGGATACCAGGAAAAGAGCTGAGCGAAAGGCTGTCGGGACCAGAGCATTGGGCCAGGATGTCCCTGTATCGTGTTCGATCTACCAAGGGCGCTGCGATGAGTCGATGACCACCCATGGTCCTGTGAGGTATGTACTGCAGATCCCACCTAACCAGATATGGTCTTCAAGTCAATCGGTATCGAGCTGCCCACTGGCAAATTCCCCGCGTATCAGATGTCAGCGACTTCGAAATATTTCGGTTACTCTTGGAGGAATGTGCTCTGGGTAGAATAACACCGAGTACATAACGTTGAATATGGTATGGCGCAGTGTGCGGGCGCAGGCTGGGATCCAATGGCGTCGCTCTGAACTTGGCTGACCGGGCCGCGGATTCGGCGTGGATCCCCTGCGAAGCTCTGGACCTCGGTAACTTTCCCGCCGCTGTTCATCACTCGCTTCTACGCTCGACGATTAATATTCCCGCCTGCGGTCATCTTGGACGATTGTTTTTCTCACTTCCTCTGTTATAGAGAACTCTACGACGCTGTCACCACCTCCTGCGCGATTGTATATCCCATTGTTCTAATCGCGGACTCTCTTGTCGCTGAACCAATCCATCCCGCCGTCCTTCCGCCTTCCCGCATTGCGACAGCCCTCGGCACACGACTGGTGCTTTTGTCCTTTGAACGGCTATTCTTACACCCTCCATCTCGACCAAAGAGCCAAGCGAAAGAAGTCTCCTCCTAAAACATCGGTCGCAAGCAGCCCCGCGCACACGCCACCTCGCACCATATTTTCGACATGTCCAAAACATTCACCGCCGCCGATGTGGCCAAGCACACGGCCACGGCCAAAGATGGCATGTACGTTATCATCGACGGGGCAGTGTACGATGTGACAAACTTTGTGGACGAGCACCCCGGAGGAGCAAAGATCTTGAAACGAGTGTGCGGGAAGGACGCTTCAAAACAATTCTGGAAGGTGAGCGGCGGGATGCGCTTCCCGTGAGACAATTGATTAGCAGTCGAAGCTGACGCAGCCATAGTACCACAACGAGTCGGTCCTCAAGAAGTATGGCCCCAAGTTGAAGATCGGTGCGGTCGGCGACAAGGCGAAGCTGTGATGGAGGGAGCGCTGGTGGATTTAATAATTGATGTCAAAGATCAAGATTCTTTGTGGAGGGCTGCAAGTCGTCGAGATATGAGCGACTGATTTATCCGAACATTTGCACGTCTGTCCCTCCATGGGCTGTACAGGGTGACAAGAGCAACGGCTTCTGTGGTTTGAGGAGTGACAGGATCAGAATGGTCCTCGTGGCTCGCTCGGCGAGTTCGAACCTTGGGGTTTCGAGGTGCGCATGTTCGTCTTATAGATGGTTCATCTTGCATCTACATAGGTAGAAAATCGCATAGAAATCGTGCTGCACCTGGATCTAGTGTTGCTGGGAATACTGAAGGTGCCGGATGAAATGCTGCTTGTGACCGATGACTCGGCGCACAACCCAGCCACAGCTCTGTGGTTGTTCATTCCGAGGGATCTTGTGCACGATTTCGACTTGTTGTGCAGTTGCCAACCAGCCAGCTTTTGAGGACGAAGTCTTGTATCGTATTTGCTCGGCTCGTCGACCTGCCCGAGAACCCCCTTGGACATAAACGGTAGTAGTTGCCGCTTATTACTACGAGACATGAAGCACGAGGCTGCCCAATCGCGGCGGGATGCGGGTAAAGCGAACGAGCAAGGATGCATGCCCCTGCCTAGTACTGGGTACTGGGCAGAAGTACTTCGTACGATAAGAGAAGGGCCAGGCGACAGACATTATTTATTTCCTAGAAGAGAATACGGTGCTATCCAACCGTCGACTGCGAGGCGTTCTGTGGAGAGTATTTTCTACACAATTCTTTGCATTTCGCGCCCCGTCGCATTGCATTGCATTGCAGTGTCGTTTTCCTCGCTTTCCAATGGGCGTTGACAACTTCACTTCCTCTCTGGGGGACGTGGCTGCAAGCCATCGTCTGTCCAACTTTCGATAAACGAGAGTGCATACGAGGTACCTCGAGTAATGTCGCTGTCCTGGCTCTGTCCAATTGAGGGGATGTTGTCGTTGTGGTGGTGGTGACGGCGGTGGCGGGCAGCGCGCACTTTGCTTCCCTTCTGAATGAATGCACATGTTTGAAACAACCGAGTAAATGTGCTAGCCAAGCCTTAGTCTCAGACCATTTTCCAAAGGCGGAAACACATGGTTTCCGCTTGTGGGCTCGAGGCCTGGGCGGCACGACGGCTGTGTTGCTTCTACGAGGTATGCGAGTCTGCATTCGGGTTTGCCCAGAGCCCAGAACCCAGAGCTGAGAGCCTAGAGCCTAGAGGCCCGGTGCCCGGTGCCGCCCTGCCACCAAAACGCTACTAGCATCTGCTGCAGTGCTGGCACATCACACGTCCGTCGGTCCAGTTTCACCATTGTTGCTCGCCGAAGCGGGCCAGTGCTACTCGCCCGTGCATCTTGGGAGCGGGGCCCTTAGGCAATACCGAGTACTCCCAAGGGAAGATGGGGCTGCTGACTGCAGCGAACATCTGTGCGAAATACGAGCACAAGCACAGATACTTTGCGGGGAGGGGGTTGGGGCCTTACCTCCCAAAATCTCCTGCGAGGCTGACTTTTCTGTCTCTCCCTCCCCATATTGAATCCCGGATATCAAGGTTTCACGTGAAGCTTACAAGGTGTGGGAGATGGTCTATCAAGAAGGGTCTGGGGCAACGAGTGCACGGTAGCGTTCCAGACAGCATGCGATGCTGCGATGAGGTAATAGCGTCGTTCTGGTCCCCTATACATCGTCCCGTATGTACACTTAGTCGCCGTTTACATTGGGGGCTGAACATGAAATCCAGCGGGCAAGATATCCTGGGTCCCGGGTCCGGGTCCTGGGTAACTGGGTAACTGGGTAATTATGCGGCTTAATTCAAATTCCAGAAGATAACTCTTTGGACATGGGCTGCAGCCCCTAAGCATGCATGTTTGTGCGGGTCCCTAGTGTGTGCGTGTGTGGTTGAGGTCTACTTTAGCCATTCATTCATCGGGTGCGGAAGACAACAACAAACCTTGATATACCTACCTCGCTACATACCTTGCGTAAGTAAGTAGTGTCTCGTACTTTTTTTGTGTCCCGCACTACATAATCCCGGGAACCATTTCCCTTGCCCCGAAAGCCTCGTGAAATACGAGTTACCTGGGTAAGGTGGTGGGTGCCACCTGTTGAGATCTCGTTTGTCGGTTGCTGTACACCCCCCTCCCTCCAAAGTCTCCGTTGTCCTTGCATGCATGCATGGGTGTGTATGTGTGTGTGTAGCAGGCGGGTAGCAGGTCCACGGCGATTTCCAGCGTCACAGAGCCCCAAAAAAAACAACCCGGAGGTTAGACAACGACCCCATCTCGATGACTTCGAACTCGTCCATAACGATGATGCCCAGAGAATGATTCAGCAATATTTCTCGCACTTGCGCGGGCGGTTGGGGGGGGGCGGTGGCACTTTCCCCCTTGGGGCTCTTGGGGCTCCTCCCCTCGCTCCCTTATTACGAGTGGACGAGAAAAGGTATTTCTTTCTCAATGACGTCGTGGCTTTCCTATCGCGGATAATCTGCTGTGGAACTTTACTGGAAGTGGTGATCAGTCAGCCTCTTGGCCATCCCAATACGCCCGCTCCTCTCGGAGGTAGGTATGGTAGGCAGGCTGGTAGGTAGGCCAAGTCGACTTGAAAACTTGGCTTCTCCGGATGCGTTTGGATGTGAGGCGTGAAGCTACAGAGGTCATGTATGTACATAGATGGGGTTGGATGACACCCTAGTACGCCCACTAGGTACGAGGTACTCACTCATAGAACCAACTGCCTACGAAGTACTATACTTACCTAAGCCAACTCGCGTACGAAGTTTGCGTCTTTTTCTGGTAATTGCCTCGAGAAAGCCGAAATTCAACCACTAGCTAGGGCTAGCTCGGGGACTACTGGGCGGGCCTTTGATTGGGGACTTTGAGCTGGTGCCAGTCGCGCCGGGGTTGGGATGGGATGTTCTGGAAAAAAGCTGACTACCTACTTCCTTACACGAAGCGGGCCACCAAGGCTCAAGGGGACTTGAGGGGGTTTCCGCACGGGTTACGAGGGTCGTCAATGATGCAGAAGAATCCACAGCGAGCGAGGGGTTTTTTTGTTTTCTCGTCCCGCGTATCGTCGTGCGTGCTCCTTTTTGCCCTGCAGAACATTTTTCTACCTACCAAACTAAACTACGAGTAAAGTACCAACATGCCGCTATAACCTGCAATGTAATACCACCATACCGCATGCGGAAGAGCAAAGCTCCTTTGTCATTGGCCACTCGCTAGTGCAAGACGGGGCCAAGCCTCCACTAGGACTTTCCTAAAAGGGAATCCCTCGACAGCAAGGCCCCCCTCCTCCTCCCCTTGGCACCACTCCCCTCCGTGGCCCTTGTTCAGCGCACTCTACTGCTATGCTTGTGCCCTTCCCTGCAGGCTGCAGGGATACCTGGTACAACGAGAGGCTATCGGGCAAGGTTTGCGAGGTTTGTGATGGCATTATCGAAACAAAGAAGAGACCCTCTCGAGATCCGCAATCGCAAATCTTATGTAAAGCCAGGTCTGTTCTCGACTGGGGACTGGGGACCTGATATCAAGCTTGGGGTTTTTCGATTCTCAATAAGTTTTTTTTCTTTCAGTTCTTCAAACCATCTTCACTTGCTCGGGTCCAAGGCCATCAATCCTAGATCCATTCTCACTCCACAGTCAAGCTTCTTACAACTATATACCCGGGACAAGTCATGGACACCTCACACATTGACAGCCTCCCCAACATCTCGAAACTCACTCCCTCGGAACTGTTCCTCGTAGACGCCAGCGAGTTTGGCGATCTCGACGTAAGTCTGGGACAGTCTCAGAAGGCAAGATGCCAGTATTGACAGCCAGTGTCAGCTCCTGGACGAGTTCCACCAGTTCGGCAGTCTGGACGTCTCAGACATTCTCTCCAGCGACGCCGATGGCTCTGTCGCCCTGAATAGATTGACTATGATTGGTGATGTCGACGCCTCAGCTACGGAGCAATCCAATACGTCTACATCCACGGATTCGGAGCCACCAGCAGAATCCAGGACGAAGATGGTAAGTCAAGTGGTGTCGCCGAATTGCCTCCCAAATAGACCAACCAGCCTTGGTGTCTTTGAGGGGGTCTGACAGAAGATTGCACGATGTTTGGAATAGTCGAAGTACAATTCTAACAGAAGACGGCATGCAGCGGCGTCGAGCTCAAAACCGAGCGTCTCAGCGTGCTTTCCGCGAACGCAAAGAGAAGCACCTCAGGAATCTCAAGGCCACTTTGGAGCAGCTCGGCCAGAAGCATCGACGGCTGCTGGATTCGTACTCTCAGCAAGCTGAAACCGTGACGAAGTTGAAGAGCCAGATCGCACACCTCCGCACTCAGATCGCAGCCTTCTCGACGTTCTCGGAACAAGACATGATGGCATCGATTTCCCGAGTCCCGAGACCCCCGTCTGCCGAGTTTCAGCAATTCGACGCTTTTCCCTTGTCGCCACCACTGTCTGTCTATGCCGACCACCAGAGCCTCTTCTGCCAGAGTCGAACCATGGACGGCAGCGGTGCCGAGTCGTTGCCAACCCCGGACTCACTTGAGCTCCCCGAGTTTGAAGACCTGCTGCATCTCCCCTGAGATTGACATCTGGGTTTCCTGTTTCGCTGTCCTTGCACACTAGGCGTTAGTTGTCCCGGTCCTAGCATCAACTTCTTTCCCTGTCGGTTTTTGGCGTCACGATGGTCAATGGGTGGCAGTAGTTGATATTTGTGAATGGTCTGTTTGGGACCTCGTCTTTCGCAGTGATGAACGTCCACTTTGCATAGTCTAGTCTTCGGATGGTGCGTCGTCAAATACATTTCCATCACAACCATCCAACCTCTCTCAAAGCCTTTTCCTTTGAGAAACCTGTCCTCGGCCCCCTCAGAAGACGAGGCCAAGACGTGTCCCCACGCTTCTCGAGGAGAAGTGAATCCTAAATACAAGTTCCTCGCAGTCGACCAGGTGACTAAGCCGGTCGCCGTGCTCGACGTCTCCA